GGATAGGCAGATATCCAATTAGTACATGCAGTGACATTCAGTGTCATTGGTCACTGGGGCTGTCACCCAATAACCTCACTCCAAGTACACACATAGATGTCTTAGTTAGGGTTCCTATTTCTGTGAAGAGACACCGTGACTGTGGACATTCTTATAAAGTAATACATTTAATTGATCTAGCTTGCTTACAGTTTCTGAGAGTCAGTCCATTATCATCATGGAAGGGAGCATGGCAGCATGCAGGCAAACATAGTTCTGGAGAAGTAACTGAGAGTCCTACATCTTTTAGGCAACAAGAAATGGTCTGAGACACTGGGTTGTAGCTTGAGCATAGGAAACCCCAAAGTTCACCTGCACAGTGACACACTTCCTCTAACGAGGTCAAACTCACTCCAACAAAGCCACAGCCCCTAATAGTATGATTCCCTGTGAACTTATGGGGGCCAGTTACATTCAGACTACCACAATGGACAATATTGCTGTTGTCCATACTATTTGCTAGTATTCATACTAGCAAAAATGGAAACAGTTGTTCTTGCATCAACAGGAAGAACAAAATGTAGTAAACACATATGTTGGAATTCTAGTGTACAGTGCAAAGAAACAATATAGAGCTTGGTAAGGCATTCCTGGTGAAAATTGACACCTATAATATGTTTTAATTCATATGAATTATCCAGAAAAGACATATCTATAGAGACAGAAAGTAGATTAGTGATGACTAGAGACAGGGAGATGTAAGTGGGAGTAGGGACAATAAATGGGCATGAGGTTCCTTTGCAGATGATGAAATGTCCTAAAATTAGATTTTGGATATGGTTGCACTAGTTTCTAAATTTAATAACAATCATTGAATTGTGCACTTATGAGTGTATTTATGATCTCAGAAATAGATATGCATGGGCTGGAGAGATAGCTCAGTGGGTATAGCGCTTGCTGTACAAGCGTGAGGACCTAAGTTCAGGTCCCATGCACTTCACACTCTTGGTGCTGGAAGGCAGTGACAAGAAGATCCCGAGGTCCTGCTGGCTGACCAGTCTAGCCAATGGGTGACTGAGAGACTCTCAAAGTCCCGAGACTTATAAAACTATTGTAACCATAGACTCACTGCAATTGTAGCTACTGGTACTGGGCCTGTACAAGACGTGACTTATAAACAATCAGTCTAGGAAGCAAGAGAGGCTCATGATTCCCTATTCTTCACCTCTGAACTATTTATTGATCGATCCTGAGAGAAAGGGACTCACTATCTTGTAATCCCTCTGCTGAGCCCAGAGGCTCCAAGAGATAATGCTAAACCCACAGTCACACAGATGGCCCTGGTTAATGTTAATTGATTACAAAACAAAATGATTAGACATGAACTGAAAGAGGTCTTCGGGAAGTGTGGAGGATAATCCGGGGTGATAGAGAGGTGGGAGATAAGGGTGGCTAGTGTACAAGGTGTACATATACGTAATAGATTGCTAAAAATAAGGTGAAAACAACGGAGTAGGGCAATGAAACATCAACTCTGGCCCCCACATGCCTACACCACACATTTACACACCTTCACACACTCAGACATTCACACATACACCTTTACACACTCACACATTCACACACACACTCACACCTTCACACACTCACACATTCACACACACACCTTCACACACTCACACATTCACACACACACCTTCACACACTCACATACTCACATACACACCTTCACACTCACATACTCACACACACCTTTACACACTCACACATTCACACACACACCTTCACACACTCACACATTCACACACACACCTTCACACACTCACACATTCACACACACACCTTCACACACTCACACACTCACATACACACATACACACATACACATGATCTCACATACATGCCTATACCACACATAACACACCTTCACACACTCACACATTCACACACACACACCTTCATACACTCACACACTCACATACACACACTCTCACACACATGATCTCACATACATTCACACACACACACACACACCTTCCAACACACTCATACACGTATTCATAATATTCTAACACACATTCACACACATACTCACACACTCACACACAACTAAAAAGAAATAGATGTGTTACTTCAATACCTAATTTTTTCTGTTTGATAATAAAGTTGATTGTTAATCATGACTTTTTTTTTAATCTAGAAGAATCTACTCAAACTGATCATATTTCTGTCAGATAAAGGATAGTAAAGGTGAATAATTTCTGGGGAAATTAGATCTTTTTGTGAAGTAATAACCTGACAGTGCTCCGCCAGCCTGGAATCACTAGAGAGTAGGTATGCCTGTGTGGTACATCCGGTGTCATCTGTGGCATCACAGTTATGTGGCTTTGCCACTGACAGCAATTAAGTTAAAATTATTGGGTTGCTAAGATCACCATTCCTTAAAATGGTTCATCAAAGTATAGTTGGATCACTTACTTTTCTGTTGCTGTGATAAAACACTGTGACCAAGTCAACTTATAGAAGGAAAGTATATTTTGGCTTACAGTTCCAGTGGGATAAGAGTCCCTCATGGCAGGGAGGCATGAAAGAGAGAAAGGGAACTGGAAGTGGGGTGACCCTATAAACAACCCCACCCCCTCTGTACTGTGCTTCCTGCAGTAAGACCACACCTTCTTTCTTTTTTCTTCTAATTTATTCTTCTCTTATACAGCCTGACTACAGCCTCCTCACCCTCCACTCCTTCCAATGCCCTTCCCCACCACCTCTCTCCCCCAGATCCACTGCCTTCATTTTTCTCTTTGGAAAAGAACAGGTCTCCCAGTGATATCAATTGAACATTGCATAACAAGATGCAATAAAACTAGGCACAAACCCTCTTATCAAGGCTGGATGAGGCAACCAAGTAGGAGGCAAAGGGTCTCACAACCAGGCAAAAAGAGCCAGAGATATCCCTCTCCCACTGTTAGGAGCCCCACAAACACCCCAAGCTAAACAACCGTAGCCCATATGTAAGGGCCTGTCAGCTCCTGTGAGCCCTGCTTAGTTGATTCCATGGACCGTGTTCTCCTGGTGTGCTCGACCCCTCTGGCTCATACAATCCCGACTCCCCCTCTTTTGCAGGGTTCCCTGAGCTCTGTGGAATGTTTGACTATGGGTCTCTTCATCTGCTCCCATTAGCTGCTGGGTGAAGACTCACTGATGACAACTGGGCTAAGCACTGATCTATGAGTATAGCAGACTATTGTTAGGAATCATTTCATTTCATTTCCTTTTTTTTTTTTGGCCAGCTGTTTGGTTGTACCTTAGGTCTCTGGGCTATCCAGCTTCCAGTTCCTGGCCATCCAGGCTTCTCCTCAAGGCGTGGGACTCAAGTTAGACTAGTCATTGCTTGGCCATTCCCACAAGTTCTGAGCCACCATTGCTCCAGCAAGGACCACGTCTTCTAAGCCTTCCTAAATAACATCACCAACTGGAAAACATATATTCAAATGTCTGAGCCAATGGGGGAACATTTTTCATTCGAATCATCACAATAATATAATATTGTTGAAAATTGAGGTTTATTTTAAGCTTACAAAATCTGTGGGGGAAAGGTTGGATTGAATCTCTTACACCTTATTTAACATATGAAATAGTATTTGAGGTTAAATGTGTCAAAAGATAAAAGGCCATACAAGCCAAGCCTGCTTAGTTTGAGTGTCTAAAGAAAAGTCTAAAATTTAATAGATCATTATTTATTTATTTCTAAGTTCTAGTTAGGGAACAAGCTTGTTTCACATGTATGTCCCTTCTCCCTCTCCCTCCCCTCACCCCATCCCTCCTCCCCCATCCCAACCTACCCCCACCCCATCCACCCACCCCTCCCCCGGCAGGGTAGGGCCCCCAACGAGGGCTCCACCCAA